GAGAGTTCCTTTTTCTCCACATCCTCGCCAACATTTGTTGTTGCTAGTTGTTTGAAGATGTGCCATTCTCACTGGGGTGAGGTGGTATCTCATTGGCGGCATCTTTACTCAAGGACCGACCAGGTCAGTCATCAGGAAACCTACTTTCCTTAACTCCCAAATGGAAGTTCTCCTTGGGATCCAGTGTTTTCTTTACTTACTAGCAGTTCCCTGCTGATGACACCCTAGGAAATCCCACATATAAACTAAAGAGCAACTTCGCCACTTTATGCTTTCTCTGGGTGAAGAGAGGCAAGACCCCTCCAGTGGACTTCCTATCCCAGTGACCTCAGCAAGAGCAGAATCCCTGCAATGTGACGTAATTCACTGAGGATGAAGTATGTTTTCGCTAACTATCAAATTAATTATTCGTACTGGTAGACATTGGAAATCTGGAATTTAAAACCTCTTCTTCAGTAGTCTGTCCACTTAAACACACAATCAGACCCAAACTCACTATTCCTCAAGAACTGACTTCTACAGAGTCTTGCTTCCCTAACAGAGCACTTTCTTAAGCTTATCATGTTTTACTGTGATTTCTATGAGCAATTCCTAAAAATAAAGACTTTAAATCACAATTTTAGCAACACTGAACTATGGTCCCAATAAGACATCATCTTCAGAACACATTTCCTCATTTCTAAAACAGACATGCTGACAGGTAATGTTAACGCAACCTCAGAACACTCCTTGGATGCTCTCTGTCTCTACCCTCTCTTTCTAAATTACCCTTCACACGTCCCCCAGTATTAGTTAACAGTGTTAGTTTCCAACTTCTGTTACCACAAATTACCAAGAAATCATAGGTTTTTTAAAAAGTCCTAAATTCTGGAAATGAGAGATCTCCAACTCTATCCGGGCGCAATAAAGATGCCCACAAGCTGTACTCCTTCTGGAGGCTCGAGGGATTCAGGCCTGCTCCTCAGGTGCAGAAGCCGAGTCCCTGGGCTCAGGGCCCCGTATGCCACCCTCAGAGCCAGCAGCACAACATGTACCAGCCCCACCCATGACATGGACGACACCTCTCGTAATGACCCTTGTGATTATGCTGCGCTACCAAGATAGTTCCAGGTAATATTCTAAGACCCTTAACTCAGTCATATCCGGATAAATATTCACAGGACTAAGACATGGACATGCTTTAGGGAGCCCGTATTCTGCCGACAACAGCTACTTAGAACTGTTAGTCCCTTCCTTCATTAAAAATCTTCATTGGCCTGGGCCTCCCTGGTGGCGCAGCGGGTTAAAGCACAGCACTAAGAAGCTTAAGCCACTTCAGCATGAGTTCGATTCCCGCCTGCCCCGGAGGTGACCACAGGGTGCGGCAGACCTCTCCTGACCCGCCCGCTGCTCCCCTCAGCAGTGTACTTCGTTGATCTGCATGTTCTGCTCCCCTCTCTGTCTCTGGTGAAGCCTCTCACCCTCCACATCTCTGGCCTGTACCCCAGTTCTGTATGAATAAATAAATCTTTTTTTAAAAAAAAAATCTTCATTGGCCAAATACCGGAAGAAAACTATGAAACAATCATTACGCATATACACAAAAGTACGCAACAAAATGTCAGTAAACTGAATCTAGTGACATATTAACAAGTATTATACATCGTAACTAAATAGAAGTTATCTCAAAGTTGGTTTAGCATTCAAAGCCAATTACAAATTCAAAGCCAATACATCATATTAATGGAATGGAAAAAAAAGGCCAACAGGATCATCTGAATAGATAGGAAAAAAATACATTTTGACAAACTCCAACATTTTTCAAGACAAAGTACAGAAACTGGGAAAAGAATTTCCTCCACCCAATAAAGGCCACTGTGAAAAGCCCACCGCTAACACCACATTTAAATGGCCAAAAACTGAATGTTCACCTCTTAAGATCAGAAACAAAACTGGTAAGAGCTCCCACCTCTTCTTTCCAGCACTGTACTAGAGGTTCTCCTCAGAACTAAGCCTGAAAGGAAATAAAAGGCACTCAGGTGGGAAAGGAAGAGCGCAATCTATTTTAATGGATCGTAACACTTCATATAGAAGACCCTAAGAAATCACAAGAAACCATTACTAATAAATTCAGCAAGGCTGACCAAAGATTCAAAATCAGTAAAATTTCTATTCACTAGCAATGAACATTCTGAAAACATTCTGAACACATAGTTAAGACGACCCCATGGGACTTGTAATCAGAATATATAAAGAATCTGACAAACTGGTAAGGAGATAAATAACCCAATTTAAAAATGGGCAAGAAATCCAAACAGACTATTTTCCCCAAATAAATGATCAATAAGCACATAAAAAGATGCACAAAATCATCAGCCAATGCAGAAGTGCAAACCCAACTGAACAGTAAGATATATTATTTCACACGTACCAGGATAGCTACAACCAAAAAAAACAGTTGATAACAAGTGTTGGCCAGAGAATATGGAGAAACAAACCCTCAGATTGCCCTGGGGGTGCATAATGGTGTGGCCATTGTGGAAAATAGCTTGGCAAATTCTCAGCACTAAACAGAGCTACCATATAACCAAACAACTGTATTCTTAAATACATGCCCCAAAGAAATGAAAATATACAGTATGCCTGCACAGAAAAAAAATATCATGGCAGCAAGCAGCATTCATAAAACCATGAAAGTGGAAACAACCCAAACGCCTATCAACTGAATGGATAAAGTGTGATAACTCCTTACAATGGACTGTTATTGATTAATAAAAAAAGGAACAAAGTGGAAATGTTTGCTTTAGTGTGAGTCTTTTTTTTTTTTTAGATTCATTTTATTTATTTATGCATATAAGAACTAGGGTGCAGGCCAGAGGTGCAGGACCCACCAGAGACAGAGTGGGGAGCCCAGGCAGAGTCACTGGAACACACTGCTGAGGGGAGCAAGCAGGGAGACAGGAGAGGGCTGCTGCGCCCTGAGCTCCCTGGCCAGCTGGGGTTCAAACTCATGCTGTGGTGCTGCAAGCTGAGACTCAGGCCCTAGGGCCAGTAGAGAGGCCCTCTCGCATGAATCTTACAGCCATTACATTAAGTGAAAAGGTCACCTATTGCATGCTTCCACTTATGAGATTGCCAGGGTGGGTGACAAGTGAAAGGAGCTGAATGGTTGGCTGGGGCTGTGGCGAGTCACTGCCAATGGGATATGGGGTTTCTGCTCTGAGTTATAAATGAGTTACAATCACACAACTGTGAATATATTAGAAACCACTGGATCATAAGCTTAGATGGGGGAGTGTTATGGTGTGTGATTTACATCTCAGCAAAGTTGCTGTTTGTCAATTCTTAGGAATTCAGCTCAGGAGTCAACTCCCTTGTGGACACAATAAATTGTGTCCAAGTAGTCCGCAGAGAAAGCAAGTACGTAAGCTATCTTCAGAGACACATTTCTCCTGCTCTTACATTTAACTAAAGATCCCCCACACAGAGGAGGATCCTGACCTGCGAACACAGGGTGGTCACACACACACAACACTGACAGCCAGCTTCAAGTAAGGGAAAGCGCCACCACAGGCTCCCAGTGGCCACAGCCCCGCAGTCGCCTGCAGTGAGCCCTCCTCCTGGTGCTGTCACCTCGCAGCTCAGGGCCCGCAGCAGTCCCTCCCTGGCCCGCCTTCTCTCTTGAACACATCCAGAGAGGACTGTCCCCGCCACACATGGATTACTCTTCAGGGCCTGACTCCCAGCCTGTCCAATCTCTTTCACCCCTCTAGACCAGACCCCCCAGAACACTGGCCTCTCAAGCTGTAACTGGCCTTGCCTCTAAGTCAAACCGTCATCAAAGCAGGCACTTTCCACCAACCCAATTCAGCTAGTCCAGTCTCAGAGCAACAAGAAAAAAAGAGAGTCACCCAAGGTTTACCTTTCACAAGCTGGATCCATCCATTTAGCATTTCATCTACTTACTCTGGGAGATGGTGCGGGCCTCCACCCGTCCTAGGACAGCGCTCCTGCCAAAGACAGGAGCCACCGGTGGCGCCAGGCGCAGCCTCGGGAAGCTGGGGCTGCTGCCTTTACAGAGGGGCGCGGGGGGGGGGGAGGCCACAGGAGGGACCACCCTGCTCAGTGCCCCCCCCCAAGTTACAGGCACTATCCATTCTTGGTCATTTGGTACTTACTGAATCAAATTCAATTTCTGAAACATACTATGCCCAAAAATTCATGTATTAGCTTTAAAAGGTAAAGGATTCTTTGAATAAACACATGGTAGCATTTATGAATTTATTATAACAAGTAAACAGCATAAATGAGTATAAAATAAAACGAAAGTGACAAAAGTAAGCCAAAACAGATCTTAGAAAGCTGACTGCAGACTGGAGGCCGCTTCAGTTGGGGAGGCGAGGATGGATGGGACCCCAGGACCCAGGGTAAAGGACCTGGGTGCTCTGATGGGGGTGGGGGGCTGCGGTAGTTAACATTCCTCCGAGGAAGCATGAACCTATCTGCCTAAATTACATACAATTTTGTAAACCAGCCTTATTACCTCAATAAAGAAAAAGAAAAAATTGTAGATGTTGTTATTTACTCACATATAACGGAGCTTGTTGTGGATTAAGTTTCATGACCCAGGATACTGAAACAGAAATGGAAAATGAAATAAGAATAAAACAAAAATTATCACCAAAGTGCAAAGCCTCTATGTCTTAGTTATCAATCAAGCCGGTATATGAACGCTGTGAAAGGCGGGGGAGACGGTGCGCTCGTTTTAAGTACACATTTAGGGAGGCAGGAAGGTCAAGCTACTCAATTCCAGGTTCAGGCTTTTCAGGGGGAGAATATTTTCTGACTGAAAAACAGTGAGAAAGGCTTCACTGTCGCAGAGCATCTAGGGAGTAACCCAGGCCAGCGAGGCCTATGCCGCCTGCGTGCCGCGCCCAGGCGTGGGCCGCTGAAAGTGGGCTCCCGGCCTGCGCGGGCTCCCGGCCTGCCCGCACGTGGGATGGACAAACAGCAGGCCGCAGAGCTCTGCGCTCCGCGCTTCTCTCGAGAAGGGAAGGGTCAGCTTGAAGCGAGCTGCGGTCTCCTCAAAGGTAATACTTGATTACCTGCTGCTACTGTCACTTAATTTCTCACAAAAAATCTTACACAGAACTTTAGAGACTTCAACTCAAATTCAGGGTGTTTGCAAAGGCCCTGCATTCTCAAGTCCATGCTTGTGCACCATGATCTTTTTGTTGAAAGTGTTGTTTTATTTGGGGGGGGAGGGCAGCATTGGGGGTGGAAACCATGATCTTTTAGCCTAGAGGAAGTCCTGGTCAAATCACCAAGTTAAACTTTTAAGAGCATGTTATTCTTAATATCCAGGAATTAAATTATAATAAGTTCACCTCAGACTCATCGGTCGGAGAAGCAGACCCAAGTGATACCAACATAATTTGGTCTAAAGAAACTTCTTACTCGTCGTAACTCATCATAGGTAGCAAAAGGCACATGTAGCCAGCAATTTTTTTAAAGATTTATTTATTTGTTTATTTATACAGAACTAGGGTAACAAGCCAGAAGTACAAGGGCAGCGAGAGGATTCACCAGAGTCAGAGTGGGGAGCAGAACAGGCCAACTGACGAAGTCCACTGTGAGGGGAGCAGCGGGCGGGCCAGGAGCGGTCTGCCGCGCCCTGTGGTCACCTCTGGGGCGGGGGAATGCAGCTGCAGCCAGCTTGCAGTGCTGCTTCCTAACCCTGGCGCCACCAGGGAGGGCCCATAGCCAGCAATTTAACAATGGTACAGAAACATCACATTTACACATAAAAGGTAGGTAACACCTCATGTCTTGTATCCAGTAAATGACAAAGACCCAAAAAAAACGATGAAGAGAAATCCAAACCACAGTGGAGGTTATCAAAGACCAAATATTTAGAATGAAGAGCAATGCCGGAGGGGCCAGAACTTAAGGAACAGAAGAATCCTCTCAATAGGGAGAAAAAAACATCTGCACCAGGCTCTAACCAACATCCCCAACCAGCCGCAGGCTGAGGGCCTCAGTGCATTCTGGAAAAAGGTGGAAGGAAGCAGACAGCCAGGGCCCCCCCCCCCCCCGACTGACTGACCACGTCATGTCCACTCGGTCCATTCGCTCGCTTACTCCCCTACATTCTCACTGGCTTCCAGGCTCAGGACATACTTTCTTCCTGACTGCCTTCATTTTATGATTTTGTAGCCTTAGGTGCTAAAATCACCTGCAGAAATTCACACTGAAAATCCAGCTTGAAAAATGTAGCGATAACTCTTAAGAATAAAAAAAGGACTCCCAGGCCATGAGAATCAAACAGCAAGCACTGAAAGTGTATTAAATACCCATTTAATTTAAAATTAAGCTCACTCTGCTCAGTGACCTTTAATCAGCTTTCCAGGTCCTGCCTGGACCTGCCTGAGACACACAGGTACCAATCTGCCTTGGCCAACTCATGAAGCCTCTTTGTCCCCAAAGCACAAGAAGCATCACTGCAAACTAAAACATCTTCTTGGAGGTGGATCCATCCGTATCAAAGAAACCTTGGGGACAAACCAGCCTTCCCATGTTCTCTCATTTGCGAGAAACTCAGAAGCTGTGTGCTTAGAATCAGGAGCTGGCCTCCCTGATCCCCAACTGGAACCCACGAGCCCTCTGCTGTGAGGCTGAGAGGGATGACAGTGCATCTGCTCTCCCGCACTGTCGAGGGCCAGGTCCGTTTGCTGGCAGCAGCGGCTGCTGAAAGCCATCACGGTCATGACCCCAGAAGCAACAGACTAAGTTCAGGCTGCTGCTGGGTCTCCTCAGTTGCCACGCTGGGGAGAGGACTGGCACTGACAAAGCCTTCTAGTCAGCGTCCAATGTAATCCCCACTCAAAAAGGAAAAATACATTAAAACCCATAAATGGTTAAATGAAAGACTTCCGGTTCCCAAAGACCAATTTTCCAGAATCTTCAAACAGGTTGGTGGGTAAACTGCAATTCTACAATGTAACCAACTAACCACAGAAAACAACCTTGGAGAAACAGATACAGAAATGTGTACATTATCTCTGGGAACTACAGGGAACTTTCACTCTTAAATTACTCCAACAATGAACATACTACTTCTGTAATTTGAAGAGAAGTTCATTAGACACAGCACATCTGCTGTAAGCACCCTGGTCATTCAGTGCATCACGACCTCGCAGAAACGAGTTAACCACAGACACGTGCACGCAGCAGCGTCCAGACTACTGTTCACAGACTGCAGCAACTGCGTTCTCACCGACGGTGAGCAAGGGTTCCCTTTTCCCCACAACCTCAGAACTCTGTTATTCCTTCTGGCCTTGGTATGTCATTTTACAGGTGTGGGATGGTACATCTCACTGCGGTCCCGATTTGCCTTTCTCTGGGGATAAGTGATGTTGACCATGTGCATGTAAACTCTCAACAGCGGTCGACAATCTCCTCATATTTAACTGCTACAATAGCCTGAGTCCAGCTAACTACTGAGCTTTAGAGATCAATGGCCTCCGCCAACTTAACAGGGGACACATACCTGTCAGTAGGGAAAAAAGATCCCCAGGCCCTGAGAACCAAGCAGCAAGCACTGAGACGGGTAAGCGCGCCAGGTATGAGCAGCACAGCAGTGCCAACGGCACAGGACCAGGGAGGAGCAACCCGCTCTAGGAGGCAGCAGCCTGAGCAGAGCTCACGGGAGGTCAATCCTGCCCAAGCGCCTCCGCATGGACACAGGCTCGGCGCAGCAGGAAGAGCACAACGCCACGATGTGGTGGCAGAGCCGCTGAGACGGCGGGAAGGGAGTGCGGAAAGCTTTCTCGCAACTCCACAAACCTGGGCTCTTTGGTCTTAGAAGCCAAGGGAGGCAAGAAAGGACACGGGTCTCGGTGCCGAGGCTCGGCCCTGAGAAACCACAGCCATACAGCGGGGATGGCACCACCAAACTGGTGTGTTGTTTTCTGTTTGATTGTTTGGTTTTTTTTTGGGGGGGGGGGGTGTTGTTTGGCTCAGATTTCTGTCCAGCCACAGAGCAGATTCAAAGATTCAAAAAGTAGCACTGGGAAAAGCCTACAGCCACATGGCCTAAATTCAAACTCAGAGCTACTGTTTGCTGCTGGATATATCCCACAGGCAGGGAAATATTGGACGAACAGGAACATCAGAGACAGAAACTAGTCAGCAGCTTTCCTGCGCTGTTTGATAACAAAGGATGGACATCAGTTGCCGTAAAACCACCACCCATCCATGAAAATCACAAATTTCAGATCAGTCTAGTTCCAGAAGAATCGTCTAGTAGCTCATTAAAGGCCTTAAGAAATCCAGCCTGGATCACTTTAACCTGTCCAGGAGGTCACAGGACAAAGCGGGGGGAGGGAGCACCCCGGAATGGAGAACTCGGGGCAAAGAGCAGGGCCGGGAACTGCTTACAGAACACTGGGGCCCACACCTGACGGCTGGTGCTTCAGGGAAGAGGAACAATGTGATTTCAATTCTCTCTGATGTTTGACACAGGCTTGTGGTTTCCGCAAAAAATGGTTTCTGCTTTTCTGCAAAGATCTGCATGGAGAAGAAAACTCTAAATAGCTATTCCACAGGTGAGAATGTTGCCGCCAGCTGTATCCTGTTATCCAAAGGAAACGGAACTGGGCCTTGCCAGGAGGCCCAGACACAGGCGAGCGAGACCATAAATCAGTAAGTGCCGACACTTTTATCCCTGTGATAATATGAACACACTTTTAAATTTAGAAGAATTCATACACAGCTGGGGTTTATGTAAATTAACTTCAGCAGGGGTTAAAATAGATATCCGGCTAAAGAGACTACAGAGGACAAGCCACTGTACTTCATATCCTGACCTTGACCATCCAAGAAGCAAGAAGTTCAGTGACCAAACTGGGGACGAACTACAATGCTTGGAAAGACCCAACACCGACAAGGGGACCCAGACAGGCGAGGGTGGCGCAGCTCGGGTGGGAGTGACTTCAGAAGGCACGCGCCCACCTTCCCGCATGGATTACAGGACAGGAGCACAATCAAATTACCCCCGCAGTGTCAGGCACAAGAGGGGTTTGAAACAGAAGCTAGAAGTGTCAATGCCAGCTTTTATTTTTCAGGTGTTCTTATGTCCTGGGGACAAACACTGCCCTTACTGTTGTGATCCCCAATGCTGAGTCTTCACACTAGCACCTTGAGAACAATGACACTGAAAAACACAAGCCAGGTCAAAGTCAGAGGAAAAGTTCTGAAGACTTCAAATAAATGCATGTATTTCATAAATGAATGAAAATGAGACAAAGAAACGCCAATATTTTCAGAAGCCCTCTACTGAAATTCAAAATATCACTGAAGTTCTTACATGAGAAACTTTCCTTTTAGAGGGGACTGTCTATTCCTAAAACAAACTGACCCAAGCTATCCTTCGCAGAGTTATTCTTGCTCTTGAAAACAGTGAACAGAGAATAGCTTTTCAGATTACTCAGGAAGTAAAGCAGTGACAGCCGACTAAAATAAAAGCAACACGCCCCACACTGAATCACACGCATGCCACAGGGCTGCCAGTCTCAAAAGCTGCCACCCTTTGGTGGCATTTTCAGTGGCCAATTCAGCCACTTAAAGGCAGAATTTCTATACATCAGTGTCCTGCCAAGCAGAAGCGCGTCTCCACCCCCACTATTAGGAGGGGCGCCCCCCACGGCATGGGGCGGTGCCCCCCACGACACAGGGCAGCGCCCCCCCCCCACAGCATGGGATGGTACTGAGGGTCAGAAGCACCTGCCCCAGAGATTGTCTGTAAGAGCCGGGCTTATTCTGCTTGGATATTAATAAAGACAATTCACTTTTATTCAAAAAGACAATACTAAGAACTGATGAGATTAGATTTCAACTGAGTATAAAGTCCGCTACTAGGTCAAAAAAAAAAAAAAAAGTCCTGCAAATTCTCCTATCTGATAATTTCATTGAAAATGACCTTAAAAAGGCAGGTTTTCATAAGATTATTACAGAAGTTAATGCCAGGTTAAGTAACATGTTGGCTTTGGAATTAGAAACAGATTTCAAGAAACTTCAGAGTATTTCCCTAAGTTTCCAATCTTCTCAATTCCTCTTGAAACTCTTACAGGTATCATATGCCAATGTATCATGCAATTTACGAATGGAAAGTTAATTTCCCCCATTTGAACTAATAAGCTAAAAGACAAAGCTGTCATGATGTATGCAGGCCTGGCACTGTAAGCCACGTTAGCCTCTCCAGCTGCGTGAGGAAAGGAGACAGCACAGTGTGCCGCTTCTAATGCCTGTGGAAGCAGACCACACTCCGCCCCGGAGACGGCGGGTGTTCAAGGCACTGAAGCGGAAGTCAGCTATCTACTGCACAGTACTCTTTTCCATTAAAATTACACTTTAGAATTAAGAAACTATACGTATAGCTAGTACATAAAACCGGAACGCTGTGAAAGGATGATGGCTACAGATTTCCAGGCAGTGTCCTAGGAGTGGCGCCGCTGCTCACAGGCCTAGTTCTGGGAGCCAGGGTGCGAGGGGGGCGAGCACCTGTGCCAGGGTGTTCGCAGAGACCAGCTCACCTGGCAACCAGGCCCGCGAGCAGCATCTGAAAGGCGACAAGGGGAGGGGATCAACAAATACCTGAGCGTGGACTCCGGACAGACTGTGCTAGAACATCTAACTCTAATGGTCTAAATAAACTGTCCAGAGCGCTCTGAGGTATCTGCTTCCTGGTTTCCCACGAGACCTAAGTGGGCCCTCCGCAGCGGCGCCACGCCCCGTACAGCATACAGCTGGTCAGCACTGCAGTGGTCATGGCTAGAAACCCGGCAGAATTCAGACTCATCCGCAACGCGGGACAGCACAGGCGGCTCCAGAACCTGAGGGCCCAAAGTAAAGAATGGCAGCTCACACAGCCATGCCACAGAGGCCGCGGCGCGGAGGGCCTCAAGGGAGGAGGGCGCTGGCGTCCGCTCCTGGCTAGGGGCTCCTCCTCCCTGCGCGTAACAGAACCACCAGTCGCCTCTGAGAACAGCGGTCGTATCAATCTCTGCAAACCTCAGGACAGTGGTGGCGCAGGAGCGGCGCTGTGCGGTCCAGCACACTGGCCCCGGGCTTGGGAGAGCGGAGGGGGCAGCAGTGCGCAGAGCTGGCTCCCGGCCAGCAGAGCAGCAGACTCCTCACAGGGCAGAGCCCGCCTGAACCCCCCATGGGCTGCCAGTTGAAATGAAATCCTCAATAATATCCACTCTCGAAGCGACTAGAGTGAGGTGGAAAAGATGTTTTCCGTGATCAGAAGGGCTCAAGAACCGCTGTCCTGGAGGCTGGGTCTCCATCAGCAGGACGCAGGAAAGGTGAAAACCCCAAGCAACGGTCTCAGCACCCAAGAAAGGACACAAGGAAAAAGCTCCCAGGTCAACTATTTTCATTGTAAAATATATTTTCATTGAAAATATATTCTTGATACCCCTTTCTTTCCCTTGGGCGCTTTTCCAGATGCTGGTACAGCCAGGCTACAGTCACTTCCTAAAACAGCCTCCAGAAGTACTTTGGCAGGACCTAGAGCCCCGGCGCTGACCACAGGCGAACAACAGTGAGGTGGGGGCTGGAGACCAGCTGAGCCCCACCCACACTCCCCTCATCTCCACTCTGCCCGCCCCAGCTTGGCACATGATGTTTCATAGCTCATGTGTTGGTACAGAAATAGGAACACTGTAGATACTCCCAGAACAGAGTAAAAGGATTAGCAAGTAGCTCCAATTATACCAACTGATCTCATACTCTCCTTACAGTGGCTTCCTGGCATTTGAAATCCATTTCTGAAACTTAACCAAGGGCATCTGAGAGAAATTCCTCTTTCAAGCACACACTGGAAATACACTAGGTGGTAAACGTGCACTCACTTTTTCAAAATGCATCATCCTTATCCTCGCTGAGGAGGAGTCACGGCACCCTGCTACATTCCTCAGTAGGTGTTCTTCTCATTTGTTTACCCCAAAGCAAACACCTAGTTTTTCTTCATATAGCCTGTCATGGATGAGGATGTAATAACCTTCACTGGCACTCAAATAAGAGTTCACTTACCCTTTTTCAGGCATTTTGTTAATTCCACATTAACCCACTGACTAAACGAAGAGAAACCTATACATGCTCAGAGCTCAGGACAGTGGCTGTCAGAGTCTGCACCCAGCTCTGATTCCAAAGTCTATGCAATAACTTCGAGCCACCACACTGCTGCTGCTCCCGATCCTTAGCAAGGCTTCTGCCGGCCACTGTCCAGTGAATGGAAGGGGCTGGAGTAGGAAATCATCAAGGTTCCTCCTCTCTCTCACATAACTCGTCTCCCCCAAAATTCACCACTGTAGACTGGTGTACAGATGTGCCCTGTTCTGTTATTTTCCAAAGTAGCAGGAGAAAAGAGCAGCTGCATAATTGCCCAACAAGTAAAACAACTCAACAGACCAACATGTTCCTACCCACATGCAAATGAAACGTTTACAGCTGGAGAATCAGCGGGGAAGGGACTCCCTTCCACACGAAGGCCAAAATCAGCCAACTGAACTCTACTGCCCCCCAAATTTAACTGCTATTCTATAAGCAACAGGAACTTATGAAAATGCTTTCCATAAATTCTGCACAAATCTGATAACCTCAAAACTAATAACCAGCCTTAAAGAGATTACTCAGGGATTCTTACACATTAAAACTACAGTGGAAGTGAGTGACAATGTCTCTGCCCACACCCACGTATTAATAAAGGGTGCAGCAGGTGCTTTACTGCACAAATTGAAAACTACACTGACTTTTCATGTAGTGACTAGTCTTGACGCTTGCTATTAAACTAAACAGAAAATTAAACAAAGCAGTTACAGACGCAAGGTGAACAGGCCAAAGACTCACCAGGATCTTCCATCACAGACCCTGACAGCTATCCAACGGCAGGGCAAGGACAAATGAAGAAGGCAGCCACCAGCCACCGCACAGTGCCTTCCCCAGGCCAGGAGAAGGGAGTGCCACAGAGCTGGGGTATCGAAAGCCAGCCGGGGCTGCTGACTCTCCAGAGAGACACTCCCTGTCAGTGATATTCAGATATGAGCCAACAGCCTGAGGCCTCCAGCTTTAAGAAATACAACCAAAACCACATTCAGAGTCAGCATCAGCTACACTTACCAAGAAGCAAAGCCTTTTTTAAATCTTACCAGCCAAATCAACCCATCACTTTCATTTTTTAAATGTGAATTCTTAAGTTAGATTTCTAGTACCTCATTAGAAGAAACACATTATGGAGGTTAATTGGAGATGACAAAGGTTTGAAGAATATTTATTAATGTAAACTATCACGGCCTTTCTAAAAGCAAAAAAAAAGGGGGGGGAGGGGGGAGAATATACTGAGAAACACTAAAGGGAAAAGGACAATGTGGACATCAGATCCAAGGGAATGGTTAAGAAATGGTTCAAGACTTGAAAGTTTCACAATTTAAAAAGGTAAAGGGGGGTGACTACCCTGTATTTTACTGTTGTTGTTATGGGTAAGTGATGATCACTTACACAAAGTAAGATACACAAAGGCGCCATGTGAAGGCCATGGAAGGGTTTGTCATAGGTAGACAGAAAGCTGAAAGAAGCAGAAAATACTGGCTAAGACTCACTTTTATTTTATTTTTTAACTGAGGGAAGTTGTACTCCCAGATCACCCGGTATGGCAGCTAGAACTCAGGCAGAGGCGTTAGTCTTCAAATCTGCACGTAAGGTCTTTCCAGATCCTCCGCAGACTCCTGGCTTACACATAGTGGGGAAAATCCAAGATTTCCAGCAAAAATCCAAACTGCTAGGCTTGAGCAGAAATCAAACTAACATGGAGTTTGAGTCTGATCCAGTTAGAAGTCTGCCAGACAAAAGTTAACATTTTCAGGAGATAAAACCAAACTGGGCTCTAAAGCCTATCACCCACAGTGTACAGCATACAATAAAAAATAGATTTAGATAAATAGAATCAGTTGTAACATCTTCTTGGGCCCCTCATTAATAAATAAATTAGATAAAATCTTCAACACATACTGATTTTATATTGCATTAAGAGTCATAATTTACCTCTGCGAAACCACAGACAACATCTGCAAATCATATACCTGATAAAGCACTTACGTAAGTCCAGAATTTATAAGGAAATCCTCCAACTAAGAGGATAGACAAACTAAAAATGTTAAGTTTTTGTACAAACATTTTACTTAAAAAGATGTATGAATGGCTAGCAGGCACATGACAAGGTGTTCAACATCACCACTCATTAGGAACCAGCCAAATTAAAAATAACAGTGAGATGCTCACTTACCAGAACCACCTTACATTTACTGAAGAATTTGAATTCTGAGTTGTTTTATCACAAAACTCCAGGTCCTGACATTCATCAAAATGACATGGACCAAGCATTTAAGGAAATAATACCAATGTCCAAGAGTGGGCGAGGGCCTTTTCTGTTTTATTTTATGAGGCTAACACTACCCTGACACTGAAATCAACCAAAGTTATTCCAAGAAACATACAAGACAAATATGAGCAAAACCACAAAAATTTAACAAAATTTACCAATTCAAATGCAGAACTATGAAAATGACCAAGTGGCATTTATCCCAGCATATTCAATACTCATTAAACTTTTGTAAATTACAGGAACCCACATCAGAAAAAGCAGTGACAAAACTGACCTGCAATTCATTGTAAAAACTCTCAGCAAACTAGAAATAAAAAGGAAACTACCTCAACCTGATAGAAACAATCACAAACACACACAAACCTACAACCAAAATTACACAGAACAGTCAAAGTCTGAATATGAAAGATGTCATCAGTTCCATCAGGAGCCCACGCAGGATCTACTAGAAACAAGTGTGTTGTCAAGGTGTCAGGTTACAATATCAATAAGTAAGAATCCATTTTATCTCCATATGCTGTAACAGGCCATTGGAAGTTGAAACTATTTACAATAGCACCAAAAACATGAAATACTTCAGCATCAATTTAACAAAAGCATAGTTTTCAAAAAGCACATGGCAACTGAAAACATGCTTTAAAAAAAGCTAAAGAGTTTCTTTAAAAACAGGTATCCGGGCCCTCCCTGGTGGTGCAGTGGGTTACAGCATAGCACTAAGAAGCTAAAGCCACTTCAGCATGAGTTCGATCCCAGCGCCAGAGGTGACCCACATGGCACAGCAGACCTCTCCTGACCTGCCCACTGCCCCCCTCAGCAGTGTGCTTCGTCAGTCAGCGTGTTCCGCCCCCCACTCTGTCTCTGGTGAACCCTTTCACTGCCCCTGCACCTCTGGCCTGTACCCCAGTTCTGTATGCATAAATAAACAAATCTTAAAAAAAAAAAAGATATCCAGTATTAATGGATAGGCTCAGTATAGCTATGTATTAATTCCCCCACACACACTGATCCATTGATTCATGAATTTAATGCAATTCCTATAAAAACTAAAAATTGACTTTCTGTGGAAACTGACTGAAAATGCACATCAAAGTACAAATAGTCTAGGATAGCCACATCAATGTTTGAAAAAGAACAAAGCTGGAGAAATCATGATGCTTGGTTTCAACACTTAACTACAAAGCCACCATAATAGCGTAGTTGCAGGCCTGAAGGACAGATGTATAGAATAATAGGACAAAATAATCTAAAAATAGAGCCACACATTTATAGTCCACTTACATTTCAGCACATGGGGTTAAGGTAATTCAATAAGGATAGTGTCCCCTGCCCACAACAAATGGTGTTGAAACAAATGGATGTCCACATGCAAAAAATGAACGTCGATTCTTAACCTCTCGCCAGCTACAAACGTTAACTCAAGCACATCATAACCTAAAAGCTAGAGATGGAATTTCTCAATGAAAACGAAGGAGAAAATGTTTATGTCATTGGGTTTGGCAGAGACCTTTCATCTAGGACACAAAAAGTACAAACTTTAGAAAGAAAAAAAAAATATGGAGAAACTGCTCTTCAAAAGATACCATTAAAAGGAAGAAGAAAATGGCGAGAAAAAATTTACAAAACACATGATAAAGGACATGTTCAGAATATTTAAACAACTGAAGTTGTTTGAAAAAGTGAAAAGAAATTGTTTTTAACTGTTTTATTAGAATGTGATTTACATATAGTAAAGTTCAACCATTTAAACTGTACAGCCTAACTAGTTAGTTCTGACAACTATGCATAATCATCTAACCACCACGATGATGGAGGCACAGAACCTTCGAGAATTTACAACTCAAACAAACACAAAAATGGCTCAAAAATATTTGACAGATCTCTCACTAGAGAAGATGCCTGCTCTCTATCAGCAGTCAACGAGGAAATTAAATCTAAGTCCATCACCTGATAAACAGTACAGCCCACGAGCACGGCTCAAATCTAAAAGATGGGCAATACCAGCACCTGCCATGCAAGTGGAGGGAGAGGGTGGGCCCCTCCATCATTGGTGGGATCAGACAAATGTGCAGGCACATTTGCAAAAAGCTGGATGACTCCTTAGGAAAGTTAAAAATAAGCCATATGACCCAGCAGTCCCATTCTTAGGTATTCATTCAAGGGAAGTCAAAGTAGAGCCATACTCGACTGGAGCTTGGGGTGAGCAGACTGGCTGCAAAGGGCAGCAAGGGGCTTTGGAGGGACAAAGATGCTGTAGCTTGATTAGTGTGGTTAGATGATTGTACCCAGCTGCCAGAACTGGTTCACTGAATTGTATACTCTGTATGGATGAATTTTACTGTATATAAATTATACTAATAAAAAGCATTAAAGACAACCTCTTTCCCCACTTCAAACAACTCAACAGCCCGTTATCAGGCCAAAAGATGTCCCTGGACTGAACATCAGCCACCCTGTCCCGGGGCTGGGCCCAGGATAACACTCGCCGCTTCACCATGAGCACAGAAAGAGGCCTGCAAGCATTCACGAGGAGCAGAGACAGACCACAGAGCTAGTAATGCAGAAGAGTGTCACTTCTTCTAAACATCACTAAAGAGCAAATTAGTGACAACCAGCTCAGCTACACGCTGCTACATGGCCTCCCCACCTCTCTACAGAGACACAGTCACTGAATTCTTCCCATTGTCAGTGCTCTGACCTGTCTCACCACGTCTAGACGATGCATGCTAGCAACTCAGCACAGAAGTGATTGGCATGGACTGATTTACAAAACCTCTAGAAGAAGTTCTTTTCAAAAAGGGAAAAGCTATTAAAAAAGAAACAGGTAAGAGTTTGGAAGAACCTTGCAAAGTCAACTTCTCTAGGCCTCGGTTGATTCTGCTATAAAACAAGCCCTATGCTCATATTTAGATCCTCCCTTGAGCGGTCCGTGGTATCCTGAGCCACTTATGAAAACAGATCAGCTATTTAAGACATGCTACCTAATAGTGTGCTTGCACTGACGGGAAAGAAGCTGAAAGGAAAATGGACTGGCAGGCCTACCAGAAAGGACCTGCCAGTGATAGCTCAGACCTGCATCATGTCAGTGTCAATTGCAGCCACATTCCAAACAACAAATCCAGAAGCATGCAAAGATAAATGCTAACCTTCCCACCTAAAACACGGCCTGTCTACACCATATTCAGCTGTCACAATTTGGATCAAATTTAAAATTAAATGAACTGGAAGGCAGAAGCAGGTTCCCAGCTCTGACTCCTTCCATCTTCACTGGGTTTTCAGGGAATCCCCCAAAACTTTCTCTACCCTGAAAGATTCAAGAACCACCTACTTGCAAAATACACTGTTGAGAGCCAGTAATCTGGCTACAAAGTGAACTATTCTGGGCTGTTCTTGTATCACCTAAGCCACAAAATAACACTAAGATTTTTGTGGTCGCTGTTCTTTCATATTATCCCAAAGCAAAACTACAGAGGGAAAAAAAAAAAGATTAAAATGCAAATTTGAGTCCCCTCACAAATGTTGTCCTCAACCCTCAAATC